TTTTTTTAGAGCAGTGGACCCACCTTTATCAAACTTGGACAGTGGGCTGGTACTCGCAGAGATATATTCAGCAAAGAATTTTGTGATAAGGTAAGTTTGCATGTTCTTTTTTTGCGAGGTGCTCGAGGATGGTGAAAAATTGATGTTCTTGCGCTTGAAGATCACACAGCCATTGCGATTTTGCTAGCATTTATGCGTTGAGTCTTTATTCATTTGTATCTCTTCTAGATGTCTATATTACACACAAAAACCAAAAGGCAACGTTACTTCCGCGATTGCGATGCCATCTTGGATGAAGTCTTTGGTGAGGGATTTGCCAAAAAGCACAAAAAAGATGTGTTCACTCATATCGAACCATATTCGATTGGTTCAGGTTGCATCGCAGAGGTAATTTCTAACCATATTGGTATATTTAATTGCTTCACAGTATCTCATGTAGGTGTACAAAGCAACTATCAACGTTCCTGCACTAGAGAAGGCTACTGGGAAAAAATTCCCGCAACTAGGAAACGCAGAAAAAGAAGTCGCCATCAAGGTGAGCTGAGCTTTCCCGTTGCACCTTTTTTTCGTGATTCTTCTCTTTTTTTTTGTTGCGCATGCATCTTTTGGCATTCTTGGATTATCTGCTACCTTTAATTCAATGAAATAGGCGCCTGGAAGGGCGACCGCTCGCACACGCCTCCTCTGCGTCCCTCCCGCGCGCGTGCTCCCTGGTCACTCTCTAGCCTTGAATAGGTTACGAAACCCCGCCTCTCGGCCGACTGCCTGGTTGAATCATAGAGTACATTTCCGTGCAAACTGTAAATTGATGAATTTTGAGGTTTTAGATGTAGCAAAAACAACCACAATCTTTTTCGAACATATTGGGTCAAATAATTGACAGGTGTGCCCAAATACTTTCATTTGAGGTTGCTGACGATGGCGTTGAAGACATGATTAATCTCGATTTGTCGATAATCCACTCAGGAGCAAAATTCTTGCTCAAGGTATTTCTAAATCAGCTATTACTGAAATTTTTTATATCAAATTAAAGCTGATTTTTTCGCAGTTAATGCCATCGCTTGGATATTTGGAGCCTCTTTCGGCTCTAGAACAGTTTGAAATGGTGTTGCGACGTCAAGTGGACCTTCGCAATGAAGCCAGAGCTTTGCAGGTAAATTTTTTCGGCTTTTTAAACTTCAATGTTGACTCGATTTTGCACTTCAGAAATTCTCTGAGAACTTCGATCATAAAAAGACGGGCATCAAGTTCCCAATCGTCATTGGGTACACAAAAAATGCGATAGTGGAGACATTTGAACGTGGAATGTACATCAATCGACTAGTCGCTGATGATCATGATCCTGAGGTATAAATTTTCTATTTTCGGGTTTCTCAGTGAAACACAGAAGTAACATTCGAAGGCAGTGTTCCCTCAAAAATTCGTTTTCTAGTTTTTCACCTTTTCGTAGCCTTCTCGCCATAATGAAGCCATATCTAAGCTTTCCCAGCGCTTGCAAATGGCAAAAATGAGCTATTTCGGA